AACAAGTCAACACAATATCAAGTTTATAAACGTCATATATATGTATTTTTTTAATATGAAATACTATTCTCTAAGATAACACAATCGCTTAAACAATGTCTTTAACAATTTTACAATTCTTATACAAATACGTAAAACAATAAGAATTAATGCCAATTGCGTATTAAGCATAATTTAACGTCAGTGAGTGAGTCTGTTTTAACATCAAAAACTACACTAAAGAATCCAATATTTCGCTCACCTTATATACTAAAATAATTTACGCCTAAGACTTAATAACTTAATAATTCATAGAGTATATATGCATTTGTGGACAGCTAAACAATTAAATAACCAATTATGTTTGCACGATCTATGTACAAAAGGTACAATTCCCCGCTTTAGTGATGACAGGCCTATTAATTAACTAAATTAAGCATAGTGTCCGTGACAGCTCATTAATTCCTCCGTTGCAGGCTCTACGTTACCAGCAATCGTAAAAGAGGCCGACTAGTCTGGGACATATGGGAAACCGGCGCCCAGTATAAATAAAACCAAAAACAACAACAGCTCATTAAATTTAATATATATCCGCCTATGTATACCTATGTATTGTTGACTAATTACCGGCTAATTACCGTTATCCTACACCGCACCGTTTATTTCCAAAACATGCAATGACCCTTCTCGAAAGAGAAATCAAGTAATTAATATGAAAAAGGCAAAGCCTCAAAGCGAGCTCGGTTCACTTTTATCGTGAAATAGTATTACATAATCGTTCATTTTTAGCTCGACTATTCGCAGAATAATCGAGCTAATGCAGTGACCCATTTGTCGGCGTCCCTGTGGTTAAGTTTTTGCATGTAAGTATAGGATAGATCATGAGTACCAGTTGGATGAGATTTATCAACGAGCGAAGCGAGTTGATAAATCTCACATCCAACTGGTACGAGCGTTTATCTGACTTAGACCACAGGTAGTTTCCTTTGTTTAAGGTGAAGATTTAACATGCTTAAACGGTTTTTTCTTCAACAGTTACATAGGGATATCCAAAGTTTTCTTATTCAATCTATTTGGCCTTATTGTATGCCACAATTGCACGAGGAAATGGCATAATTCATGTTCTTTCATAAGTTACTGAATACACAATCTTATGAATGATTGATTTCACATTCCTTTATAAATTTCTATCACAATAGAGCAGTCAACAATTCAAAATTTTTGAATGTGAAAACATTACTATTTCGCAACTTGAGCGTATATCAACTCAGAATTTTTGTTGTTATTCCTATTGATTACATGACGTAACACCGTACACATCGCTTGAATAAGAAGTAAAAAGCAGGACCGCTAACCGAAAAATTTTCTTAGACTGAACTCATGGGATTAAGAGTGGGCTCATTTGAGAAATAGCAGGTAATTTTCATTAAACATTTCCTTAACGAACAAACTAACCTAAGGGGCAGGATATATGTTGGTCGTCCGACTGAAGTTGAAAATATTTACTTGACGTATAGATTCGTTTCTTTACTGTATGCTTTATATTCACACTGCACTGGTTTTGTTTTAACCTCATTCATAAACTGAAAAAGATTTAAATGTTATCATCCCTTCAATATAATGATAATTGAGGTTTATTTTCATTTTGTCCAAAATGTTGTTTTTTTTCCACCAGCTTAAAACCATATTAATAGTAACACCATACATGTATATTGTACTATTTTGTTCCGGTGGATACATTGATAGAGGCCATGAAGACAGACAGACAGAGAGACAGATATTTTATTTAGATTTGTACACAGTACATCATGTACATACATGCATAATCCATAAATCCATAAATATATAACCTGCCAACGTGATTAACGAAGAATATAGTAAATAATATAAAAAGTGTTCGTAGTCAAGTTTACAAAACGGTACAAAGTGGTTTCGTTCAGTGTAAGTGATATTTGAACATATAAGCAAAGCATGTTTAACATAAAGCAACCGCAGCCCAGTCACCGTTCGGAAACCACACCTTCTCTCCCACCAGTGAAAACCCCTTGCAAACCAGAAATGAATGTACATACACAGGGTCTGCTATTTTGAGTGAGCCGTACATTCAGGATGCGATTATTATAAACACAGTGCCTGAAATTGTCGTTAACAAAAACTTTTGTAAAATTTATATTACATTATAGATTGATTAACGCATTACATTTCATTATTGCTTGTGTTTTTTTCTTATTAACAAATACAGTAACTATTCTTGTTAGATGTGAAATGAAGAAATAATGGTAAAAAGAACTAGTGCTATCTGTTAAGTTTTTTAAGAAGAATGGAATTATACTACTTACTTCACTACATGTATCTATATGTAACCCGCTTTAAACGTGAACATAACGGGGTTTTCCTTTTAGTCGAATACAAACATGATAGTTATATCAAACACTTTACTGTGATGTGTGGGATATATCAAACACTTTTCAACCTCTCTGATTGGCCGAGAGGAAACAACTGTGGTCTAAGCTAGTATCTCCATATCTACTGGAGGGAATGGATTGAAACTTCACACACTTGTTCTCTGTGATTATCTAAGATGATTGGCACAAGTCCCATAACTCTGATTTGCTTTTTGACATAATTATGCCCCTTTTTCGACTTAGAAATTCTTGGTTAAGTTTTTGCGTGTAAGCTGGTATCTCCATAACTACTGAAGGGAATGGATTGAAACTTCACACACTTGTTCTCTGTGATTATCTAAGATGATTGGCACAAGTCCCATAACTCTGATATGATTTTTAACATAATTATGCCCCTTTTTCGACTTAGAAATTCTTGGTTAAGTTTTTGCGTGTAAGCTGGTATCTCCATAACTACTGAAGGGAATGGATTGAAACTTCACACACTTGTTCTCTGTGATTATCTTAGATGATTGGCACAAGTCCCATAACTCTGATTTGCTTTTTGACATAATTATGCCCCTTTTTCGACTTAGAAATTCTTGGTTAAGTTTTTGCGTGTAAGCTGGTATCTCCAAAACTACTGAAGGGAATGAATTGAAACTTCACACACTTGTTCTCTGTGATTATCTAAGATGATTGGCACATGTCCCATAACTCTGATTTGCTTTTTTACATAATTATGCCCCTTTTTCGACTTAGAAATTCTAGGTAAATTTTTGCTTGTAAGCTGGCATCTCCATAACTACTGAAGGGTTTGTACCTTTTCGGACAATTTTATGTATTCATATAGATAAGCATTATTATACTCAATGAAATACCCTTGTGACAACTTTTCGAATAGTCGAGCGTTAATGTCCTCCAACAGTTCTTGTTACTTTACATTTTCCGTTTTAAAATTGTCATTCGGTATTTTATACACTGCTTCCGTTTAGTCTGGTTCCCTGTCCAATTATGGTTCCCATAGAAGTGCGCGGGTGACCAGTCTACACATCCGTTTTCAGTCAGAATTCCTCAGTTTTTATCGTTATTTTTAAATTCGAAAAGTTGCGATGTGTCAATTCACATCACTTAGCAGGTACTCGCGTTACCGCAAAGCTCGCTTTGCGAGCAGGCCCCTCTTCGAGCTCGCTATTAATTTCGACCCTACGCTTTACAAAAAATCAATTTTTTTTCTCAATCATATAGAGGATATTTGTTTAGTTCAGTGTAAGATCGGAATATATTTCACCGAGTGAGCACCAAAAGGTATATTTCACGAGATGCGCAGCCACGAGTGAAATATGAACTTTTGGTGTTCACAAGGTGAAATATATTTCGATCTTACACCAAACTAAACAAATTTTCTTTTTATTACATGCAAAGAAACGTTTTAAAAAGACATTAAACCTTATATTGAATGAAAAGCGCGCCAAATAATAATACAACGTGACGTCATTTACGACGTCACGTCATTAAGTTGGTACCCAGTTCTGTGTACGCTGGTATTTCACTGAAACAACGTAAGGGGCTTAAATTCAAAACAGTGAAATTATCAAAGTGGTAATTTCACTGTTTGAAACAGTGAAATTACCAGTTTTAATTCACTGATATATTTCTATAAACCACCGAAAAGCATGTAATAAATCGACATATTTGAGACCAGAGTTCAAGTTTTAATGTCGCTGTTTATTACAGATAGAAAAAATGTTCAACAATTTCATTGGCGTATCCGCTTTTTTGACATAATCATGTGATAACACCATCATCACGTGATTTGTGTGAAGGCAGTGGCTACTGGCCGTAGCGTAACCGGTGCGCGGAGTTTGTACATATTTGTGACACATCTATCCCTTTTTGATTAAATATGATAATTGTAACAATCTTAAACAAAAATATTTGTAACAATCTTGACAACAACAACAGCAATTATATTATTATTATTATTATTATAAGAATAATAGTGATGATGATTATGATGATGATGATGTTGAAGTTGATGTTGTTGTTGTTGTTGTTGATGATGATGATGATGATGATAATGATGATGATGATGTAGTTGTTGTTGTTGTTGTTGTTGATGATGATGATGATGATGATGATGATTTCACGATTGACGGTTGTGACGATAATGAAAAATAATGAAGGAAATAATATAAATTTGTACAGAATAAAATAAAATTAAAAAAAAAAAAACAGTCCAAAATAACATTTTGAAATTTTTATAACAATTTGTCCATGTTATTGTTGCATTTTTATAATAAAATAATGTACTGCTTTTATAATTCTAGACTGGGGACACGCCACTGCACACTGCATTAAGTTACGGAGCTGTTGAGGCTATGGAAGGGTTACTAATCAAAGGTGCCAAGGCCAGTGCGACAAATAAGGTAACTGATTTGTATAATCGGAACATCTCGGCTATTAAGTTCCGAAGTTTGACGGAAAGGGCCGAGAAGATGCGAAAGTGATTTGTATACTCATGATTACTACATGGTACTGCTTCCGGAATAAAAACCGAAAGCAAAAAGTACTAAGAAGTGAAAAATAAGAGATAAGACCATCAGTATTTTCGGAATCGAAAATGGTGCTAGGGGGGCGTGAGAGATGTTGCACTTTTTCATTATCCCTCATGAAAACAGACTCAATGAATCTACAAATTTCATGTATTTTTTGTGATTAGTACTTCCGAGGGATCACTTTTTCTATGATTTTTGTTTATCACAGTGCCATGCGGCAGCTGTATAAAGTTGTCCAGTACTTTACTTCAGTGTTGTTATATTTTTTGGGCCTTCAGGATCATCGATATCAAAACATTTCAGTGTTAAAAATTGAATACCGCTCAAGCCGGTGCTATGGGGCGTGAGTGTTGTTGCACTTTTTCATTACCCCTCATGAAAAGACTCAATCAAACCGAGTCTGCATTTTTCATGTACTTTTTTGTGATTAATGCCTCCGAGGGATTACTCTTTATAAGTTTAATGCTTTTTCATCATCGAGCTAAAATGAATATGTTTAAACTATAATGTCAAACCGGAAGTAGACTTTCCAACACAAAGCTATCGAAAATGTATAAATATATCATATTCCTTTTTTGTATAATAGGAGCCATTTTTTCCTTTATTACAGGAGGGAAAAAGACCGGATGACGTGGCAAAGAACGTGGCCATTAAAGAAAGCCTCCGGATGTACGCTACCATGCTGATTGCAATGAGTTCTGGGTAAACATCTTATCTGAAAATCTGATCAGTAATCAAAGTGCTGAAAGCACTGAGTGCGACGGAAACTCTAAAACAATCTATAATATAATCATTATGAAAAATTTGTTCCTGTTGCTCATGGTTAAGACTTCACGAAGTATATGGAGAGCTGTTCTACTCACGACGACGTCGGCCTTCGTGTTAAAAGTTTTGTTTAGTAGATTTTTTTATTATTAATTCTTTATTTCTTAAAGTATCAGATTCAAACTTCAAATATATATTCCTTATCATGAGCAACATTATAATATTTTTGTGACAAGGTTTATTACTCTAGAAGCAATATTTCCAATATTATCTCCTTTTGAACCTAGAATTTTTCTATAAAATATGTCATGTCTCTACTTATTTCACAAGGGATCTACTGCAGCCTCCAAATTAATATATGTTCCTTATCATCACCCACATCATGTGTAACAAGAGTCACAACTCATGCATGGACATTTGTAGAAATGTTCTCCCTTGAAGTTAGGAATTTTCTAAAGTTTTTTTTACTCTAACTTCTTTTTTTCTTCTTATTTACTTACTTTAAAATGTTACATACTGTTTGCTCTTATAATTTTTGTTACTGAAGGGATTGACTTCAGATTTCAAGTTGTAGTCTTTTCCATATTAGAGCATAGAAATGTCTGTTTAACTTTTATTGAAATGGTTACATGTGGTGAAAAAATGTTGTACATTTAAATGTTCTCTATCGGAGTACTTCGGTGCGTGGAAAAATAGCATGTAAATCGTATCTTAACATCAAAAACTTATGATTCAATAATATACATTGTAATATATATCTTATATAGTTAGGTTTTTCTCTTTACGAACATGTTTGTGACATATCCTTACATTATATACATATATGGTTTATAAGACACAATCTATGTTATATTTACTTTGGTGTTATTCGTGATTATGGTAGTTCAGTTCGATGTATGTACGTAAAAAAGCTTCTGGGTGCGCCTTTAATGTCGGTATTTGTAATATTAATAAATCGAAGACAGTATTAAAGCCATATTGCAATTGTATTATATCAACATTGTAGGATTTATATACGGCAAGGTTTTGCTGAAATGATTTTGCTTTATATTTGATGATCTTCATCACTTTTATAATGTATTTAATTTATTCTTTATCTTCTTTTAACGAAAAGATACATTAAAGCGAAGGGAATGAAAATTTCACACCGCAACGTGTCGCAGCCACTTACAATAGAACGTGTAGGCGTTATCATAGAAAACATTGACATTCCTAGAGAATTTCCGACAGGATTTTACTGTCGGCGGGAGAAAGTAGAAAACGCAACTGTGACATTAAAGAAATACGAGGAGGAGTCTGTTTTCAGTGACGTTTTCCATATAAGGATTTTTGAAACAAACAGAGACTGTAAAACAACAATGTATCTCCCCGTGTTTAAAGCGCCATCTGAGAAAGAACAGCTGGTGATACATTTTATAAACGTAGCAGAGGAAGACATGGTGGTCGACAACGCTACGGTTAGAAACCAGGTAAACTATTAGTCCATGCCGTAATGATAGGAATTGTCACATAATATTCTTATGTAAAACATGTCCTTTTTTGGTTAAATTCGTCCCTGAGATAATTTGTATAACAAATTGTAATCATCATATAAGCAATGCAGAAAACGTTAGAATATTGCTAGATTACACATCTGTTTACTTTCCGTTGTGTTAAAAGATCCAACCAATTACGCAATCAAGTTTTTACAAATATTAATCAAATGAATTACATGTATATGTGTTATTTTTATCATCAATGTGATACAATGACACTTCAACCATGATTAAAGGGACACCACTGCGGTTTTTGTCATGACTTGACTGGAAATATTTTTTTGAAATTTATGTTCCATTTGACACAGGACTAGATAAACAATTTGTGTGTAAGATTTCAGATAATTCGTCCTGTCCGTTTTCCCAGAATGATTATTCAAACTTTGGTAAACAATCCGAAATTGAAATGCTTCACAACGCTTTGTCCTCAAATAGCACAAAAATGCAATTTTCATTTTTTCTGTTACTATTTTTCATAATTGTCTTTTGCGTATTTTTCTGTTTTAACTGGCCTAGCTGATCTATGTAAAAAAACATTCAATTTAAATGTTTTAGGCTTTTGGACCTTAGTGGAATCCCTTTAACTGTAGTACATTACGATTGAACAATATATGTAAGGTTTGATTTGATAATACCGACCCTTTCAGGCATATTTTGAGGAAAATAGACGAGGAAACAAAATAATCTAGAGTATCTTTACTAGAATGTCTAAATAGTCTTGCTAAACATCAATTTTCACGGAAGACATTTTTTTTATATTTATGACTGAAAACTTATTTTATTTTTAGATTAATTACTGCGAAATGCAGACAGTTTTGATACCGGAAACAACTGCTGTGTGTGTAGTAAACATAAGACCAAAGAGAGAAGATAAAACAATCACAAACGAGGGAGCGCTTATTACATCGGAGATGGAAAAGGACTTCTCCCTTGAGATTCCACAAGATTCGTTTGAGGGAGAAGCCGTTTTAAGTTTGACGGTGAGAACTAATACATAATCTACGTCATAATATTAATCTTGATTAACAAATATCATATGACATCATTTATTAATATATTAAAATTGATTTGGATAGTTGGAGAGCAAAATTGTGTGACCTACTGGAATACACTAGTCAGTTAAATGACAACCACATTTTCAGATGGACATACAACAGTAGTCAGCCGATAAACTTATTAATAAATAAATACCCATTTTATGTTTAAGGTGTTCGAAACAAACGCAGACGATTTTGCAGACGAAGAGGAAGGCGTCGTCAATGAAGCTCCCGATGACAGTCCAAAAAAGAAGAAGAGTACTGGTAAACGAAAAAAGTCTGTAGTGAGTCAAAATCCTGTTGAAGATGAACCGGATGAACCCAAACTGGAAAGGAAATCATCTATGAGCAGTGTAGCAACAGATCTGGATGATGAGAAAACAACAGAAACAACAACAAAACCAACAAATCCAAATCTCTTGACAGACGTTTATCAGATAAATGTTGCAGGTAATTTGTTTTCTTCAATCGCCCCCTTTTGTAAAAGGGGATCATTCGGCACGCGCATGGTCGGCACTGCTGTTTGGTACATGTTTGAAATTTATCTTTAAAAAATACAGGGTTAGTGATCACGTGACATTTGCTTCACAGCTAATGGAATTTTCTATTTCTTCGCTTTATTTTTTAAATATTTCAACAATAAACATACATCATGTTCAAGGCAAATATTTTCCCTTTCAAATAAGGCGTGCTCGGTTATATATACCACGCATGCACCTTTTGATCTTTTATAAGCTTACAATAAATTTACTAAGATATTTAGATATTTTGCTCTCATTGCAGGGCAACAACCGAAAAAGGGGGTCAAAGTTCAGATACCTATTTGTGAAGGTATGAATGCAGACGACGATATTGCAATTGTTGCAGCAGACGAGACTAAATTGAATGAAGAAGATGCTCTTGAAGTTCTCCAAACGAAGCCACAAGTTGTCGGTCTAAACTTGATATTTGAAGTCTCCCACTTTAGCATGTAAGGAAACTGTTTGACATTTTAGCAATTATTGATATTCATGTTAACAATTTAAGGCCTTTAATGGGCATGGATGCGTGCCACCATATTGTTGTGGAAACGTCATAGTTGATGATAAAATACATTGTCGAAAGAACACTGACTAAACATATGTTTAATAATGCCGCCGATTTGTTGGGTATTATTTCCCCTGCTCATTGGGACGCACTCTTCAATGGAGTTGTCACCCTTTGCACAGTTTTCACTTATTTTCCAGATATGTAGCAACATGGAAGAAGAAATCGGAAGTCAAAGAACAGAGGCTCGAGCTTCAGCGTCAGATCTCTAATGCCCGAGACAAAAGAAAGCCAGCTGCACTATTTGCACTTATAAAACATGTTGAAGGTAAATTATATTTACTAAATTATAAATGTATACAGTAATTTATATTTCTAACTGTATGTTTTGTCAGTAAAATTGTAGACGCCACCTCAAATAAACAACCGACAATTTTCTTTGTTACTATTCCATGTTACGACTACATATATTACGACGGTATAGTATTGTTTATAGTAGGCCTACTGCAAGTTTGCGACGTCACTTTTCATTGGATAATTTTGACTTTTACGTAGTTCTAAACTGTATTTACAGATGCTATCATTATGAAGTTTTTTTTTCTAAAATAAAAAAGTTCACTTTTTAAAATTTTGGACATGTTAAAGTACTGTTTATAAACGGTATATATTGCCATTTTTAGTCACGGCTATAAGTAAGGACTGTATATTACGACTTTTAGCCACGGTTATATGTTATAACTTGTTTTTCAGCAAAACGATATGAATTCTGATTGTTTGAAAAATCAATTTTATTATGGAAAATGTAAGATATTTTTTTATTTCAAATCAAAATCATGCACGTTTCAAGCTATCTTACTAATTTCAACACTTTTCTTTCATCACAAGGAGTCTCAAATACATTTTCGCACGTGTTTACTTTATTCACATGTCTATGTTTTAGACAGATAACTAATTTGTCACTTAGTGTATCGGACATTATCATAAAAGAAAGAAACTTTCGCAAAGTATGTGCCAGTTGTTCAAGGGTACCACTTAGATGTACACACTTGTAGTAGCTTGTAAAACTCGTTTTGTTTGCAAAATCGGTCAGCTAATCCCCGTATAAAAGCCCGATATGTTTATTCAACGTAAAAATCGAGTTTCAAAAGGATTGAAAAACTGTACTAACTTATCTACATTCAAACTTGGAGAAAGTTTCTTTTTTGGTTCAGTATACCTCGCGGCTCACGAAGCGGCCATTTCGGAACGAGTCCCACGAGAAACATTCATCCTTAACACCCCAGTTACACAGAGCCATCGGTGATTGATCGGGAAATTATGGAGTGAACCGATGACAACGTATTTTACACCGATATCACCTATTGATCACCTGTTTTCCACCTATCAACTGCTATGTGGGAAAGATAAGTTTTATCGGTGAAAAATTACCGATTGGGATTTTTAAACATGATTAAAATTCTCGATCGGGGAAAATATTTTACAAATAACCGACAGCAACATAATTATATCACAAGATATGCAAGCTCTTAATCACCGATATCGCCGATCGGACAAAGATAACCAAATATGAATCACCGGCCATATCTGACGGAAAGTGTTTAACCACTGATGACTAGCTATCAAACACTGATTAATCAGCGTTACGCCCGATTTAGGTCCGATTTACAAACCGATAGTATTTCAGCATTTTTATCACCATCCAACCCTGTTTGAGTTTGCTTTCTGTCACCGATGGCCGTTTACACAGAAAACCAGAAATAAAATCACACATGACAACCGATCATAACAGCGAGTAAATTTAAAATTAAATGACCGATTGGGGACCGACCGTCTGTGTAACTGGCCCTTAACGCTCCCCGTGGGGCTCGAACATTCGACCTCTCGAACCAGAGGCGGACACCTTAACCACTAGACCAACGGTACCGGTATGAAAAGCTTGGTGTATTCCATGCTGATATGTTTTTACGTTTTAAGATTTGAAGCACATTCTCCTCGTGTCGTGTGTCGTGGCTAACAAGAGCAAAGATTGCCGGAAGAAGTGGATCGATACTGAGGGTTACGAGGAACAAAACCCACCGGAAGCAGGACCCATACAGATGGCACCGGGTGACACATATTGCGTCGCCATTGAAGTAAGATATTGTCTGTTTAAGGTTTGGTCTTATGGATATATCTTGAATTTCCGTGATATTTTTTCCGTGCTAGACTATTTACTAGTGTTTACTAAAATGTAATTTGAAAAAAGTATGTCGTGCCAGACGATTATAAATTAAGAAATGCTTAACAACAAACACTAGCGGATACTTAAATGTTGTAAATAATTAAAAAAAAAATGATAAAGATTTATTGGTCAAAGTATACATGTATATCAACTATTTATACGGCTTGTTGGTCTTTTTCAACTGAAATATTCACAAAAGAATATTCTGTGTACAAACACCCTTGTGGTATTTTATTTCGCGATTATTTTTTATCCAGGACCTGTTAATGATTTAATCTTTTTTTCTAAGATAAGCGCTCAGTGCGCCAAAAATATTGCATTTAGGATTTTAATGCAATTCAAATTCTACATCTACATTAAATTAATGACACATGTATATAAGCTGAATGATAATAACTAGTTTATATTGTGGAATGTATATATTATATTTTGTTCTTTCTGTCAGGGGAACGCTAGCTTGGAAGACAAGGATGATGCCACTGAGAGAAAAATACAATTCTCACAATGCCGATCTAGTTGGCAACCGTATCACGTAAACCTGCACGAGAATATTTATGATCCTGACTTGGCGTTTGCTCATGTCATAGTTTCCAAAAAGACAGAGACGGGGTTTGAGGAAGCGACCCGGTTGAGGATTAAACTGAAAGCTCCCCCTAAACCACCTCCTGCGACGCCGGGACCTTTATCAAAAAGTGACCAAGCACGGAATTTAGCTAACAATCTCGGAAAAATGGGTAAGAAGAATTTTTTAGGTTTGCTTTGCGAACTAGTCTTGTTTCGTTGCAAAGCCTTAACATTTTATCTATCTGTACGTTTTTGCATAAGTGTAACATAACAAGTGTCCACATCATTTAGATGTTTTCCGGTCTATTGACAGAAGCGATACAAGATATAATCATGCTGCAACGTTGTAAGTTAAACGTAATTAATACAAGTATCAGCATTTCCAAAACTGCTAGGAATCACTGTTCAGCCAAGTATTCGAAAGTTTTTCGTGAAAAATAGAGACTCCTGAAAAATTGAGCTAATGTTTCTTCTTTTACGAGAAATACACATTATATCCATATACTAAGATACACATGTATGCACATTACATTAAGTATAAAAGTAAAAAAAAAATAAAAAGTCTATATCATATAATAAAGATTCAGTTGTGTGGGTGTCTAAACATTAAATGCATATCTCTTTACAGTAACAAATACTGTCCCTCTTTTAACCGTCCATTAGACTTTACTATATTACTAACTGCATATATATCAAGTGTTTAGAATTGATAACTTCAGGATGTTATCCTTTCTCTGTTTTAATATATGGACATGAGCACCTATAAGCATAGCTTTAATTTTCTACCTTTCATTTTACCAAAGGTTATTTTATTAACAATTTATTTACAAACTACATACACATAGAAAATAATAATTAGTTTCACATAGTGATTAGAAGATTATTGTAGCGGAATACCTGTAGGTATGTACTAACTGAACAAACTAGAAAAATCACGTCTATAAGCCAGTAAAATAGTTTAAAACAGTTCCATTACCTATCCTGATACTCATTTGCAGGTGGACGTTCTGCTTGTAGGAAAATTTTGAAAATATATAAAGGAATGAAAAAGAATACGGCATCAATGTAGACCACAAAGACATTCGAAATCCGTGTTTTAGTAAAGCTAAGGCACAAGCTGTTAAACTGAGCCTACAATTTCGTGAAAATGATATCACAATGCACATGCGTTTTACATAAAGTTATTAAATACAAATATAACAACATATTTGTTTTTACTTGATTTTTACGAATCAAAATAAAACTAATTTACACAACATGACATTAACTGCTAATAAAAACAGCTCCTCCCATAGGCAAAAATAAAAAGCATTCCATAAGAGACGACGCCGCTCACCGGCGTCGCCAATCATGATGCAACGTTGTAAGTTAAACGTAATTAATACAAGTATCAGCATTTCCAAAACTGCTAGGAATCACTGTTCAGCCGGGTATTTGAAATTTTTCGTGAAAAATAGAGCCTCCTGAAAAATTGAGCTAATGTTTCTTCTTTTACGAGAAATACTTTATGTATTGTTTCCCCGCGTAGGACCCTACACACTGGTTTCGAGCTTCGTGCATTAAGCAAATAAGGTTAAAAGGTTGAAAAAAAAATCCCAGAAAATGGAATTTTTTCCCTAAAAATGAATTGCGAAGACGTTTTAATTAAAAAACAACAACAACAAAAAAACAACAAAAAAAAAAAACCACGCACAAAAAACCCCTCTACATACCGTGCAATACCGGCATACCGACCAAGGCACATCTATTTCATTCTGAACCGTTATTGTAAAACATGGTTAGAATGAAGGCTATTAAGAAGAACAACGAAAAACTAACTGTCAAAATATTGCCGTTTACGCAGATATTTTGAGAATATTTAAAGTGATAAAAATCCCGATATCCGGGATTCCGGAAGCATGCACTCTTGCACCGTATACACCCTACGGTTATTGCAAAACCCGGAGTCTCCTTTGTGGAATATATGCTCTATGGAAAAACTGATGATGTTCGTGTATTTACTTGAATAAACAAATGGTACAATATTAAATGTGATTACCGGAAAAATGATAACATGCGCTTCTTGGTTTTAATTGATTTTTTGCTTGCTAAGCATCCGAGTCTGGAGCAGCTTATTGACGGCGTAAAATATCATCTGCTGAGAAAAACGTACATACGTAGTTTTCAATGTTTTTGACTAACTTGACTGACGATAAAGGGCACGCATTTTTTCAATATTTTTGGTCGATGATTTCAAAACAGACTATAAAGGGCACCATTGAATTCTACGTTGTCTTCATGGCGTCATTTTGTCTTATAGTCATTTTTAAAAAGAAATATGCATATGTGTTCTGTGTTTCTTTTCCTAAATGAAGAAGTAAGTTAGTTAGCTAGTTATCTATATTGTGTATGTTTTGTTTGTGAATGCTTTTTCTGTAGTTTGACCCATTGTTTCCCATCTTGTCAATTAGAAATAACTTGTTAACTATACGTAGATAGTTGTAACTGCTAATACCAAATAAGAACAAAGGGAACTATTTTGTAGGTCCACGAAGGCCTGTTTATATTCATACGCCTATACAACATGAGAGTTTTCAATAGAGACTGTAACCATGTAGGTATTTTTCAATTTCAACGGATATTGTTTTCCCACTATATTATTGTGTGGTTTCGTCATGTATTTTTGTACATTACTAAATCATTTTTATTGTTTTATTTACCTGTATATATACCTCGAATTTACATTTTCTTCATTTCTTTTATCTGTCTAATAAGTCCTCATTCGGTAGCCTTGCGGATTACCGGAATTTTAACGGAACTTGTCGAATGTTACATGTCTCCTGGGCCAAAATAAATCACCTTGTTAACTCCGCTGACGTTTACTTAAACAGCAAGAACAAAAATCAGAACAACAACGATATCAATAGGCATAAGCTTATATGCACGCATTTTATGTCTATGTTATTGGAAAAAATAATCATAGAAAATTTGGAAGTTATGTTGGTAGATTTGTCAACTTTGGAAAAAGGTACTACTATAAACACACACAAACGCGCAAAACTTAAAAGAAAAAAGAGACAAGACTTGGATGCTTTTTGTGCGCTTTCTTGCTTTAAATTTAGAACATTGTATAAACAGACAGGCTATATATATAACAAGTTAATACTCCGGTGTATTAAGCGCTTTGATTCCTTGATGGATTATAATTACGGCAGATAACAGTCGCATAAATGATTTGTCTTCATTACTCGAGAATTAGTAGAGCAAGTAAACTTTTTGCTTATTTAATTAACATTTTTGTATACGTATGAGCGTATATGAGCATTCATGCATGTTTGTATGTATGTGTGGGCGTGCGTGCTTTCGTGTATGTCTGTACGTATGTATGCAAATCAATGTCATTTTTCGTTTCTGGAATTAACTGATAAGAAATAAAACATGCTTATACTAATTTTTTACTAACAGATATTCAGTTCTTTATCTTAAAAATTTCCATTAAATAAAAGATATGCGTTTAATGAATGATTGTACTGTCACTGTTTATCTCAATTATCTTAAAACAACTTTATAAATAGCATGATACTACAAACTATGAATTATAACAATAAAAATGTGAGGAATAAATATCATGTTGCACCACTTATTATTTTCCTATATATTATCCAGATTTGTTTATGAGCTGTAAAACTTGCTTTTTCTTAGAGCTGTGTGAGAATTTTTGCGACATCAACAAAAAAAAAACTTTTTTTTTGAAAATAACTGACGGAAAGTGTATAGGTCTATAATGACAGGAAATGAACACGAATTCCCAGATACAATGAATAATAACGTTGTAAGTATGTAGTATCAGACATAACCACAAACTGCGAAAGAAATATATATGAGCCGCTTCACGAAAAAAACAAAATATTGGGTTTGCGACCAGCATGGATCCAGACCAGCCTGTGCATCCGCGCAGTCTGATCAGGATCCATGCTGTTCGCTTACCAACCCTATAACAAGTAGAGAAACTGACAGCGAACAGCATGGATCCTGATAAGACTGCGCGGATGCAAATGGCAAATGTAAGATAATGCTTTAATATGCCATATATCTATATAGCAGATAATAAAATGTTCTAGAATTCATCATGTAAATGTCCATTTTAACTATCACTTATAATTATATCAACATTTTCTTTTCAAACAACTTTTTACAATAATATCGAAATGATACATTTCAATTGTTTTTTTTAAAATAAATATTTGAACAATTTACGGAAAATATAATCATTCTAGACCTATACACGTTACTGTGAAATACTTGAGAAGGTACTGACCAAATGCAAAGTGGTTTTCTACTTCCGGTCCCGGAACGTCATTTTGTACAATTTAAAAAGTATTCTTAAGTAGATAGCAACAATACACATATACGTATACATATATAAAAAATTAACTTATGTCGCTTTTAAGCATCAAAGGCTGGTAAGAAAAATGAAAATGATAAACAACTTGGTTATTGGTCGAAAGATCTTGAGGACGCTAAAAGGGCACTTCTACCAATTATGCAAAAGGAAGAAAGTAGCGGAAAAGAAGTCATGCTAATTGGAAACAAACTGTATGTAAATAAAAAGCTGTTTAGGACCTTCAAGGATGGCAAAGTGTGTAAACCACGTGAATAATTTCGGATCAATGTAAGTTTGGTAACATGGTTGTGGATCATGTGACTAAATATATCTCTTTGTTGTGATTGGCCGAGACGCGGTCACTTTTTTATGCTAACAAATGTTCGTAACCAATCGGTACATCTCGGAGGTTCTTATCCGAAGTTTGATGTAAAAGGCCGAGAGTATGTGTGTGTGTGTATTTGAGTTTATTTATACTCGCCACCGGTTGCCCATATGGACGAGCCTCCAGAAGAGTATTGGTCATTTTATATTTTTTGGAGGATAGTGCAAGAGTCAGATACAGAAAAATTCCAGAAGCTTCTCCTGGTTCTTTAACGTGTTTAAGCACTCCTACACGGGACCTCGATTTAAAGTATTATTATTATTATTATAAAGTCTCATCCGAAAGACTGATTAGTAATTTTTAGTTGGCCAGCCCGGGAATCGAACCCACAATGTCGAGATTACAAGTCTCGCGCTCTAACCGATTGAGCTATGCGGGCTGGTTCTATGATAAGAGGCTTTATGAGATTTAGGATAGAAACCGACCAATAATCAAATACATCGGAACGTAAAACAGATATCCGGTATAAATTTTGGATAGGCTTAAAAAGGAAAGAAAGCAAAATAAACTTCTGCTTTTGTCGTCCGCTAAAAAATTACCTTCAGTTGATTTGGTCATATTATGACACATTTACTATATATTAAGATTTCGGTAACCTGGCTAATGTGACATTCACCTTCCTTGGTCGGCATAGACTTGTATATATTTACCTCATTATCAAACAATAACTGTATACATGTACATTATAACAATGTGAAGGGCATTGATAAAGAATATGATTATATGTTATACTGAAGTTATATTATACGAGTGGTGTTCGGGAAGTTTAATGACTTTTGCTGTAGTTTGATAAATAAAAGAAATAGAAAAATAAGAAGATCACCATAAAAATATTTAATTCTTTTACAGTCAGCTGTAAATTCATTAAACAATAAGTAAATTACAAATAAAACAAAACATAGACCGAAGCATACCCGGAACACGCTAACGTCACGTCAGTGCTAAATATGTTAACGTCAAATTTCCCCGATCGTCATATCGACTCACTTCTCGACGTTATCTCTATTTACACCGAAACATTTTCTATGCCTCTTGACCCATTTGTCGTACATGTCCTCGTACCAGATGTTGTCGAATGACGAAACTATTCTCTGGGTTTTAATTTGTAATTCCAACCAGGAATCAAAGCGTCGACCACGCAGCTGTGCTTTGATTTCCTGAAAAACTCGGAAATCCATCGAGCGGTATTTGTCTACTCTTGTTATTGAACGTTATACTACATATTGAGCACATATTGTAATTACATTTTGTGAAATATGGATAAAAACGCACCATTAAGGAAAAAATACAGCAAAAGCCCTTAATCATCCCGAACACCCCTCGTATATTGGAGTTATATGTTATACTGAAGTTATATATTTTTGGTGTGTTTTTGTGTGTGATTGGTGAAAAGGATATCAAAAATAAAAATTGTTTCATTCAAGTTCAATTTATAGATAAGGTTTTACTTTATGCATTAAATGTTAAAAAAAATATTTTAATACTTTAAGATAAAACGACCCAAATTATTGCTACATCATGTATAATTATGTTCAACCGATAAGATTTTTCTAAACTTTCGATATACTCATTTTGCAATACCTTTAACTTTTCATGCATCTATTCAAAATTTCTTCTTTTGCAGAGTTTAAAATGTTGTTTAATGAATACAGTTTTGAGCAATTTATTTAGATGAACGTTTTGTAATAAATAAGAAACATTGTGTGCTTTTTGTTTTTACCCCATCACATACTACCCACAAAATGGTCATATTTATTGACGAGGACCTACCTAGTCAATGAGGTAACGACATCAGGAAATAAATCTAGAGAAGTTTCATCTTTGTCGATAGCATTGCTATCGACGCTATTCGATAGCATTGCTATCGACGCTAGCTAATTTGAAGTCAATCATTATTGGTCTTCATTTCGGAGTTTTGTTTGCATATAAATTGACAAGGAAGGCCGTATGACTTTTAGCAGGACAACCAAAATACAAATATGGAAGATCACTTCTGCATTTTAACGTCCGAAGGAAGATAACTTTCACGTCCGCTTTACGTTTACGAGAGACTCGAGCGTTATAATTATTCCTAACGGGTCGAGGGCCGAGTAAAATCGATAGTTTCGTCTGCTGCGTAACGCGTTTGTAATCACAGTAATAGATACATTCATATTAATTAACAGAATAAGCGTACGTACACGACACAAACTTTTTGATAGACATTTTGCTACTGTAACTTATGAAGTTATTGAAGGGAATAAAACAGAACAGCGAGGTTAATTGGCAAACGTATTTAAAGCTGCATGCATCCAGATTTCCAATTTTCATAAAAAAAATAAATTTTAAGTGAAATATTGTGATTACAAAGAAAGTTATTCACATATTCAAATGACACTTTAAATCCACAAAAGTTACCGAAAAGAGATCATTATATGCAAAAATAGTCCTTACTGCGTTAGAGATGCAATAGAAAAATGGTGATAAACTCTGCATAATCAGTCATTTATCGCCTAACATTCAGCTTTTATTATTACTTCAATCTGTATTCTTTAAAATGTTCTTAAAATCATAGTATAATTTTCCTAAGTTTGATTTTCTAAAAATATTTTTTGCTCATCTGAAGGCATGCATCTTTAAAAAAGGCCAGGTTATTTTTCAGAGAAATGGCAAGGCACGCTTTGTGCGAGATGTTGCACTTCTGTAAAGCCAGATATTTTCGCGAGGCAAATTATTTGCGAAATAAAAATTTCGGGCTCATTCGCGTCGTAAAACGCTAACGAATTTACTCTTTCAGTTCAATCATGTATATGAAACTAAAAGTGAGAACCACCAATTTACAGTAAAATGCGTGTACTAAAAGACGTTTCTGTAAACGAATAGGAAGGCCACCCCATTATTTTGATATAATTGCTCTGGAATAAATGTGTCTGTAGAATAACAGGAGACCAACAAAGGTCAACGATTGTAATTTATAAATTACTACAAAATCATTTTAAATGGTAAAACTTTATTTAAGTGTACAGTTTCAGAAATTACATTTTGTCGAAAAATTCAATGTCTTTTCTGCCATTATAGCAATTGCAAACCTTATAAAGAAGCGAAAATCGATTTGCATTTACCAAATGATATTGTTTCATTTCGATCTTATTGGTCTAGAAATTTCTTTATTTTCGTATCATATTACTTAAGTTTCATAGGTGAAAATAAACATATATATTGATTTGATTAGTACCTTTGAGACCCACGATCCGATAATTATGACATACCTATATATAGCAGATAATCTCGAACAAAATATTGTTATTCATACTAAATCACTATAAACATTATCATCATATTTTGCGAAGAAATAAATTACTTCATAAGAATAACCAAATGACAATATATTTTGCTTATAACAATATTTGAAATACTTATGGAAAAATGTCCATCGTTGACCAATCCACTTTGAATCGATACGAGGGGGTGTTCAAATATGAATGCAACTGGGTCAATTTTCAGAAGTGCTTAACAAACAGTGCCAAAATAACTATCTCAATCCTTCAAAATACTCACCGCAATGTGATATACAAAGTTTTAATCTTTAAATCCAAATTTAAATGATTTTTCATAATTTTTTCGAGGTATACTGTTCAGACACTGGAAAATAGACAAACCGAGATTTTTTTTAGCGTTTGATATTTTCTTCCAGCTAGGTGTTTTTTGAGCCTCGGAAATAGGAAAAAGTCACAAGGGGCTAAATCTGGCCAACAAGCAATAAGGAGGCAACCTTTTTCTGTTATATCTCCTACAATGGCCGCTTTTGTGACGAAGCATTGTCATGCAACAACCTGGCACCACGGAGATCAGTTGCTGGTCGACGGTTTTTGAAATATTTCTTTAATTTATGAAGGACTTTGCCTTTGTAAAACTTTGCATTTACAGATTAACTCTTTGGTACGGTAATTTGAATAGCAGGGCCTTGATTGGTAAAGAAGATTACATACCTTATTTTTTGGTCGTTTAGCTATGAAAGGTGTTTGACTTCCTTTGGTTGCCCATATTTTGTTATGTATCTTTCGCTTGGGCTCATAAAAGATAACACACGCCTCATAGCCAGTGAAGATATTTGCGAAAGATCGATTGTTGTTATTAGGGAACAGTTTCAACAATTGTTTGGAGATTTTTACCCGAGCAAGCTTTTGCTCTTTTGTAAGATGGGGTATCCATCTAGCACTTATCTTTCCTCATTTTAAATCACGTCTGAGAACTGTATGAGCGGCTCCTACAGAGATACCAGCGCATTTAGCTTATACCTAGTTGTAACTCTTGCATCAGTAGCAATCAAATCCTTACTTTTTCAACCATTTTTGGTGAAGTTGCAGTTTTCGGACGGCGTGCATGAGGTGTGTCTTTGGCTGAATCCATACCACTTTTAAATTTCTTACACCACCGTGTGACAGGTGAAAAACGAAAGTTCATTGTTCCTATAAACACGACATATTTCATTAAATATTTATTTTCACCTGTATACCAAGAATACAGCGGTTCTTGATATAGGTCCGTATTTGATCTATGCGATACATGTACATAGTTCGTGAAAAACGTGGTTTAAAGCGTGATATTGGCCTAGTTACATTCATATTTGAACAGCCCTTGTACATATTTCTCGTGTGCAAATAAATAAATATACATGTAATTACTAGTCCGACGCGTTATAACCACTCAGCCCTAATGTTGATTCTGTATTTATTTACTTCATAAATTATTGATAGAACTACAGTCATCTGTCTTTTTGGCAGAAATACATTGCACTTTTAGTTTGTTTTAGGTATAAATCAGAAACATTATTTTTGTACCATATAAAACGGTTAGATGTACGATTCTGGAATAATAACAATGTATTTTATTTTTGAAATTGTATTTATAATCTTTTCAGCGAAAATAAACATTGCTTTGAACCTTTTCTTGCTTTAAAGGGAAATGCTTTATTCTGTAGGTCTATCGTATAATTTGTCATATTTAACCAGTATATTTTACTGAATAGGTTAATTGTGCATGGAGTCTAATATCCTATTTAATTCATATAGATTCTTATATCTTTCTGATTCGTCGTTTCTGATATATCATTAATCGTGTCACAAGCAAGAGCGCATGGTTATTTCACTTTCAATATTAATGCTAAAAATGATTCATTTTGAAAAAAAAAGATAATATTTTCCTTAATCAGAGAAGTATCTAAAATGATCATGTGGTTTCGAATACAAAACCGAGGCTACAATTCTAGAATATCATTATCGTTTGCGTTTGTAATTTTACACGATCCCCTTTCCTTTATATGAACTATAAATAAGGTTTTCAAGACAAAAATATACAAACGATTCAATGTGAATTTTATTCATACCTCAGTTACAACGTTACAATGTCATTTTTGAAATATTTTATTTCAGATTACAAACCACCGTCAAAAGGAGCAGTTGCCCGGATGTTGGGATTTTTCGGCAAAAACTGATGACGTATCCTGTTATTGTGAACAATATTCGGCCAGTCTCCTTGATGGCGTATGAGTTGTATTTAACTTCTAACCTATCATTGCAAAAAAGGGAAAAAATTGATTATTCGATGATATGAACAGTTGCTCGATTATTTTTTTCTTTTCGAGAACATTTTATTGTGTTATTTAGCAAATAATAATAATAATAATAATAATAATAATAATAATAATAATAATAATAATAATAATAATAATAATAATAAAATAATAAAATCTTTATGACCGGGTACATGCATATAGTTTTTATCTTTAAACAATTGTCAAGTCGAAAGTTGCTGAGCAAACAACAAAACACTTTTAAGACAATCATATTGCCCTTACACGTTCTGAAAACGACAAAGAAATGCTACTCTGTCTTAGAGATTTTAATTTCTTTTTTGAGTGTACATATATATATATTCCATTGTGGTGTATTTGTTAATATTTTGTCGTTGTGTATTTGTATATATTTTAGTATTGGTTTATATGTTTGTATACATTTAATTGTAATGTCGTGCATGTATATATTTTTATATTGGTAATATATAACTTTTTTTGAAAATGGCGGTATGCTCTGTCTATAATAATAACAGACAACTATTAAATGCATTTGTGCAGTGTGTCTTCTGTTTATTTCTGTTTCTAAAATTTAAGTTGCACCTCCTTGTACGATAAGTTTACAGAAAAATAAGGGGATAAATCAGTTAAGTATTTGACCTGGGTTTTTAGTAATTGCCGTTGAACATGCTAAGCTTTGCTAAGTGTTCTGCACAAGCCAAGGAGGTATAAAAAGGAATGCTCTCGAAAATATGACAGACAGAGAGACAGTCGAACGAAGGTTCTTGCCTATCTTATGCAATTAGTTATTCTCCTTGATGTCCACTACGCATGTACGGACTGACAGACGGACATATTTCGTTACGACATACAGTACCCATTTTCAAAAGTGTGGAACTAATGAAAGCACATTAGAAACTGTTTTATGAGCATAGAGAACTATTGTGTACAATACGAACTGATGACTGCACATTATAAACTGTTGTATGTTCACAGTGCTAATTGTTTCTTCTCTGGTTCGTACATTTAAGTATTATATAAAGAATTTAAGTATAAGTATTTTAAAATACAATGATAAAAAGAAGAATAAATTTTTGCAAGTTCAATATATTGTGTTATTATGACTCTATTTCAGTGATCGGAGCAAATTGTAAAATTATCAATACTGATATTGTAATTGCCGTCTTTTTTTAATTTAAAAGTTCTATAATTTCCATCTTTGATGCTTTTTCAATACATGCATGACAATAATCTCAAATCTCGGTCAAGGCCATGACATTGGATGTTCCATTTTAATGATTACACATGTCTTGATCTTTATAATCAGTATACATATTATCATGTATTTGTATCAATATATCTAACCCAAAAAGCTACTACTTTGTTATAAAATTTAAGTTTTCTTGTGAAAATAAAGACTTTTTCAACTGAAGAAATACATAATTCGCTTTCTGTAGGCCCTATTCAATACTTTGTTTTCATTGGCTAGCCTGTGTTATACGGACTCTATACGAGTGATTAAAGTCTTGCTAATAGCACTACTGAATCAATATCTCAAGTGATGATATATCTCAGAATAAATGCCTTTAGGATATTTAGTTGTTTTATAACTATTTATTTTTGAATCAGTAGTTCATAACTAATGTTGAAAATTTCTGTCTTGGATAATTAAAGCATCGAGTATTTTTACTATTTAAAACAACACTTTAATGTCATAAAATTGAGTACTTTATTTTAGAGAGAACGTGATCTACGACAGCCATGATTCAGAAAAATTCTTCAAATCATGTATTTATTCAGCTTTACAGTAGCTTGGATATATTTCAAGTTCATAAGAACCAAACTTGTTTTTGTTATAAACACTGGTAATGTTTATTGTGCACGGTGTTTCATGATATATGACTTTTTTTAAAAATCCTCTTCAAAAAGAATCGAAAAGACACTTTACATGTTTTTATATAATAATAAAATGTAATGAATGTTAAGTAATGTAACTGTCAAACCATTTATTTTCAAGAGTGTTTTCTCTCCTGAATTGAGTTACCGGATAATTTTTAGCTCGACTATTCTAAAAGAATAAGTAGAGCTTTTGTAGTCACTCGAGCGTCGGCGTTGGCGTAACCTTTTATGTTAAAGTTTTTGTAAAACCTCAAATATTTGCAAAGTCCATTGACATATGGCTTTGAAACTTTGCACACTTGTTCACCACCATGACCCGGAGGAGGTAACTATGAAGTATTTTGACAGAATAATGCCCCTTTTCAACTTAGTATTTACATTTAAGTTTGCATACCACCTTAGATATTTTCCTATTCTATTGACATCTGGCTTTGAAACAAGTTGAAATTTTATACTCTTCTTTGAGAGCATAATAGGACTCTCTCAAAGGCCTATAACTGTAACATGGGTTTATAGAAAAAAATTGCCCCTTTGTTTACTTAAATTTTTTTACATTATCAAGGCTCTAATACTTTAAAGCACTAATTAAGAATAGTCGAGCGTGGCTGTCCTACCGACCGCTCTTGTTTGACCGTTCATCAAATCTTACTGCCGCGGTAATCAGGTCAAAAAATAGAACCGTGATATTTTGAAGTTGACTTATCAGTTATAACCGTTATTTACAAGTTAAAACACGTTCTTAATCATCATTGTTGCTATTTGTAAAGTTTAAAATTCTCAGAGAAACTTTCACGTTTACTGCGGCGGTAAATCGGTCATAAATAGTTTTGATATTTAAACCATTATACTTTTAAGTACTATATGGGAAAATTAAAACAACACGCATCATTGTAAAGTACTGAATAAATGTTTAAATTATTTGGCAAAACATTGTTTTTATTGAAAACAATTTTCCGACCAACTGTGCATGACGGGTCATTAACTAGAACGTTGCCGTTTTGACTATTGTAAGATGTCACTATCATGAATGTTATTTTGTTTTTATGAACCATTAATAGTCCTTAAAATATTATTTTTTAAAAATACAGAAGGTGATGAACTGTTGCTTACATCAGAGACATGGATGCGTGATAACTAATGAAAACTTACTTATTAGTACACCCAAGGAGTCTGTACGCGGAAAACGCACACAAAACCGCTATATCATATAGCTGTTAGTAATAAATAGTTTGCATACATTTAACTAAGAATGCACTGATGGTGATGAACATTTAGTTTGAAAACATTATATTCTTGAACAATTTTCCTACAAAAAATTTCAGCAAATTTCGGAAGTAGCGAACAGTTAAATGACAGAAAGTCAGATGTAGTCAAATATAATTTCTTACCAGAACAGAATAAGGAAATAGTTTTTTTTTTCAGAGAAAGACGCAAGGATCAGTCTTCAATCAAATGAATGACCCCGTATTGTGTCATTAGAAATTTTATTCAATTCTAGGGGAACGCATCATAATTTGATAGTCCATCTGTAATAAAATTCAAATTTTCGATACAGATAAATAAATGAAAAAATTTAAGAATAAGAAGCTTTTAGAAAAGAGTAAAACGCATGTATATACGAATGGCTTACAGTCGAACATCGGGAATTCATCAACATATTTACGAAACTTTAATTTGAAAACGATATTTGCCGCTGAAGTATTTAATGTTCACAATAATTTGAATAAATAAAATCAAAAACTTATATATTTGTGTTCTAAAAATAATTGGCGGCATAAGAGGAATTTCGTATTCATTTTACAACACTTGAAAAATTACCACAGAAAATGGTAAATTTTTTTTTTTTTTTTTTTCAACAAAAGCTTCCAAAACACGCTATTTATAGTACAATTCATAGAACTGACGCTTCGATGTTCTCATCTTTGTGCGGGAACTGGTAAGACGTACAAGATCGACAGGGATAACGCTACGTATTGTTAACAACAGGTTTCTCGAAGTACACATTTCAAGCTAGTGATGTTTAAAGATATAGTTGAGTGTTGGCGAAAAAAAAACCCATTTATTTTCACTTAGATTGATTCAATTTTGAAAAAGCTTTGCAGATATGTATCTTTTTCATGATATATTAAGCTTTAATAAATATCTGAAGCCGTCAAAGTCAGCGACGATTAATGAAATGGGAATAATTTTCTTTTGAAATATGAATAATATTTCCATGATTTTTTTCGAGGTTTGCTTCGAGAGAAGACAACTTTCTGTCCGTAGAGCATGGATATTAATGCTCGTCATCTTTATTGAATATCTGTTTAAAATTCATTAAATGTTATATTACAGCAGTTTGTAAAAAAGAGAAAAACAGAATCCCTAAAGAAAGCCCAACACGGCAAAATTGAAAATGTTGCAGGCTCGGTTTGATTGACACGGACGGTTCTTTGCATAAGTTAAACAAGCATTGTATTTAATATTAAATCTTATTATAATTCTCGTTTGTTTCACAATATACATGCCCATATCAAGCAAGTACGGAAATTTAATATCTACAACCTTTTATCTATATTAGATATGCTAAAGTCCAAATACCCGTATGTACTTAATCACATGGGGAGGATAGTTTGATAAACTAACATTTAATTTAGAGTAATGATTTTTGAGTTATATGTTTAATGGAATACTTTATGTTTTACTCATAAAGCAATACAATAAAAATAAAGTTAAAGTTAATGAAAACGAAGCAAGTTATAACACGAATTATTTTCATGTGTAAAGTTCGATAGTATGGCGGTGTCTGGAAGAAAAGCAGTGGCACCAATCAAAGGTTGGTTTGATAGTAATATAAATCATTTTTGTGATCCGTGTAAAACTGATGGTCAAAATGTAAAAGCACGAGGATATTGTGAAGATTGCCAGGAATATTTATGCAGCTCGTGTTTTTCTTCTCATAGAAAAACAAAGGCCTCAAAACATCATAAATTACACGAACGATCCGACGCTACAAATACATCTATATTAGATGATAAATGCCCATTTCATAACACCGAAATTGTCAAGTTTTTCTGTCCTAGACACGAAGAACTAGGATGTCATGATTGTATGGTTCTTAAGCATAGAACATGTGATCTTGATTATATCCCTGACACGTGTAAAGGTATAGCTGACAGTAAAGAGTACGATGACACGTTGAAAATGCTGGAGTTAAAGTTACAAGCAGCAGGAAATTTGGAAAGAGAAATTTCTGACAAAACTACGGAAGCAGACGAATGTTTTAATCAAGCGCTTAAAGATATTGACGACTTTGAGTACCGAATCATCAATCGTATAAAAGAAATGAAAACTAAAGCTGTTGAAAATGCAAAACAAATAAATGAATCAAACAAAAGGGCATTAAAGACAAGGCATGAAGACTGCAGTAAAATGTTGTCAGATGTTAAACAACTTCAAGCAAGTCTAAAAGACAATAAAACTTCCGGGAAGGAAAGGGAAATATACATAGCTGTAAAAAAAGCTAAATCTCTGGCCGTTGATGAAATCAGGACTGAAGTTTTAACAGAAATAAGAAAACTTAAAACAACTTACACCTTCAAACGGAACGAAGAGATGGAATATGCATTATTTAAGAACATTTCATTAGGAATACTAGAGACAAAAAATCGTTCTGTAAGCTCCTTACAGCATTTAAGGAACATTAAAGTAAAAACATTTTCAGATGGATATGAATGTTCTATCGCAGGATGTTCATTAATTCCACCAGATAAAGTTTTACTGGCAGATGAAAGTAATAAAAAACTTAAACTGTTTAATATCAACAATGACCGGTTGATAAATGAAAGAGAGGAAAATGGAGAACCGTGCTGTGTTGTTCATTTGTCTCAAGATGAAGTAGCTGTTGCGATGTTAAGAATGAAAGCAGTTCAAATTTTCAAGACTGATGATGACCTTTCCCTAGTTCGTACTGTTCAACTTGGTAGACAATGTTGTAATGTCACATATAACCAAGGAAAGGTATATGTTGTTTGTTGGAATCCAGAAAGTGTGTTAGTATTAGATCTTTATGGTACCATACAGACAGACATTCCACTGAGTACAGATAACATTCACATGACAATTCCATCTGGCATTGCTGTAAGTGCAGACTCTAAATATATATATGTAAGTGACTATAATAGTAACATTGTACGCCTTACAAACAATGGAAGTGTATCAAGTATCTATAAAGAAGACAAGAAAATAAAATCACCTTCTGGGATACTTCGTCTAGAGGATGGATCACTTCTTGTCTGTTGCCGTAACAGCAATACAGTATACAGAATTTCTGAAGATTTCAAGACAGGATTTAATGTTCTAGATAAAATAGTAGCACCGAAAAGCATTTGTATAGATTATAACGGTGACAAAGTGTACATTGGTTGTGATAATGCCACTTTCAATGTGTGTAAAGTTGGTTATCAGAAATAAAAAGAAATGATGATGATGATGATGATGATGTTAGTTATAATTTTTCAGAAATAGATAAAGAAACATTAAATACGAGTATGAGGCTATGATAGTGAAAGCAATATCAGTCTCACTAATATTTTATTTTAAGCTTTTGAGTGGATTACTGTTAAAAATATATTTGATAATTTCGCGGTGAAAAATATCAAAATATAGTTTCAAACTTTTCAATGAGGAGACTACATTTTAAAGAGTTCCCCATGTGATACCACAATTTTATTTTTGCTTAAAATTCTGACATTGTCAGGAATGTTTAGAGAAAAGCAAAGCTGAAAGTGATAAATAACTTAAATTTCAAAAGAAATAAAAATTAAAAAAATACTTCAATTCATTCAAATCACCAAAATCAGATTACCAAAATTTATATCGTCAGATTCTCCAAATATTTTTGGTTTCATTTTTATAGTCTAAGATACCTTAAAAAATTAGTATGTGAGAAGTCAGCAGTTAACAGTGAGCTAAGCAAAAAGGCATTACGATTTATATAGGGAAATCAATGATCTGCTGTTATGCTCCGCTGGGTAAGCAATCTAGCAGAGCATTCCAAAATAAAGTGTAGAAATGCTTTGCTGGTATGCTCAGCTGGCTAAGCTATCTAGCAGGCAATTACTAAATATAGTGTTAAAATGCTCTGCTGGTATGCTCAGCTGGCTAAGCAATCTAGCGGGGCATTCCAAAATATAGTGTAAAAAGCTCTGCTGTTATGCTCAGCTGGCTAAGCAATCTAGCAGGGCATTCCAAAATATAGTGTAAAAAGCTCTGCTGTTATGCTCAGCTGGCTAAGCAATCTAGCGGGGCATTCCAAAATATAGTGTAAAAATGCTCTGCTGTTATGCTCCGCTGGCTAAGCAATCTAGCGGGGCATTCCAAAATATAATGTAAAAATGCTCTGCTGTTATGCTCAGCTGGCTAAGCAATCTAGCGGGGCATTCCAAAACATAGTGTAAAAAATGCTCTGCTGTTATGCTCAGCTGGCTAAGCAATCTAGCGGGGCATTCCTAAATATAGTGTAAAAATGCTCTGCTGTTATGCTCAGCTGACTAAGCAGTCAAGCGGGGCATTCCAAAATATAGTGTAAACATGATATGCTGGTATGCTCAGCTGGCTAGGCAATCTAGCAGGGCATTCCTAAATATAGTGTTAAAAATGCTCAGCTGGCTAGGCAATTCAGCAGAGCATTCCTAAATATAGTGTAAAATGCTCTGCTGGTAAGCTCAGCTGGCTAAGCAATCTAGCGGGACATTCCAAAATATAGTGCGAAAAATGCTCTACTGGTATGCTCAGCTGGCTAAGCAATCTAGCAGGGCATTCCAAAATATAGTGTAAAAAGCTCTGCTGTTATGCTCAGCTGGCTAAGCAATCTAGCGGGGCATTCCAAAATATAGTGTAAAAATGCTCTGCTGTTATGCTCCGCTGGCTAAGCAATCTAGCGGGGCATTCCAAAATATAATGTAAAAATGCTCTGCTGTTATGCTCAGCTGGCTAAGCAATCTAGCGGGGCATTCCAAAATATAGTGTAAAAAATGCTCTGCTGTTATGCTCAGCTGGCTAAGCAATCTAGCGGGGCATTCCAAAATATAGTGTAAAATTGCTCTGCTGTTATGCTCAGCTGGCTAAGCAATCTAGCGGGGCATTCCAAAATATAATGTAAAAATGCTCTGCTGTTAATGCTAAGCTTGCTAAGCTTGCTAAGCAATCAAGTGGGGCATTCCAAAATATAGTGTCAACATGATCTGCTGGTATGCTCAGCTGGCTAGGCAATCTAGGAGGGCATTCCTAAATATAGTGTTAAAAATGCTCAGCTGGCTAGACAATCCAGCAGAGCTTTCCTAAATATTGTGTAAAAATGCTCTGCTGGTAAGCTCAGCTGGCTAAGCAATCTAGCGGAGCGTTCCAAAATAAAGTGTGAAAAATGCTCTGCTGATATGCTCCGCTGGCTAAGCAATCTAGCAGGGCATTCCTAAATATAGTGTTAAAAATGCTCAGCTGGCTAGGCAATTCAGCAAAGCATTCTGAAAATAAGTGTAAAAATGTTCTGCCGGAATGCTGAGCTGTCTAAGCAAACTAGCAGGGCATTCTTAAATAAAGTATAAATTTCGTTGGTCTGCAACTGATTATTTGGCACTCGTAGACTTTCTGAAATATTTAGTGCCAATGCAGATAATGACATTTGTGAATTTTAAAGACAATCCAAAGTCCATTTCGTTGGTCTGCAAATGTTTCTAGAACACTCGCAGACTTTCTGAAATTTTCGGTGCCAATGGAGATAATGACATTTTTACTTCAAAAGGACCCTCCTGAGTCTATTTTGTTGGTCTGCGAGTCACTCGCAGACTTTCAGGAATTTTGGTGTCAATGCAGAAAATGATATTTCTGACTTATTGGGACCTTCCTGAATCTATTTTTTTGGTCTGCGACTGATTCTGAAAGACTCGCAGACTTTCAGGAATTTTTGATGTCAAGGCAGATAATGACATTTTTTTACTTCTAGGGACCATCCAGGGTCCATTTTTTGGTCTGCGACTTATTCTTGGACAGTCGCAGAATTTCAGAAATTTTTGGTACCAATAGAGATAATAACAATTTTGACTTTTTTGACCATCCAGAGTCTATTTCGTTGGTCTGCGACTGATTATTGGGCACTTGCAGACTTTCAGGAATTTTTGGTGCTTATGCAGATAATGACATTTTAGAGTAAAAATGCTCTGCTTATGACTAAGGGGTCCTTAAAAGTAAAAAATGTCATGATCTGCAATGGCACTAAACATCCGGAAAGTCTGCGAGTCTCAAAGAATCAGTCGCAGACCCAAGAAATGTACTCTGGCGGTTCCCTAGAAGTCAGAAATGCCATTATCTCCATTGGCATCAAAATTCCTGAAAGTCTGCAAGTGTCCCAAAATCAGTCGCAGACCAGCGAAATGAACTCTGGTGGGTCGCTAGAAGTCAAAAATGTCATTATCTCCATTGGCACCACAGATTCCTGAAAGTCTGCGAATGTCCAAGAATCAGTCACAGACCATAAAAATGGACTCTTGAGGGTCCCTAAAAGTCTAAATTGTCAATATCAGCATTGGCACCAAAATTCCTGAAAGTCTGCGAGTGTCCATCAAAAAATCGCAGGACAATGAAATAGTCTCTTAAAGGTCCTTAGAAGTAAAAAATATCATTATTTCTATTGGCACCAAAAATTTCTGAAAGTCTGCGAATGCCTCAGAAGTGCCTAGAATTCGAAAAAGTCAATAAAACGTTGGCACATTAAATCCTGGAACTCAGAATCAGTCTGCCAGCTGAGCATTCCAGCAGAGCATTTTTACACTATATTTCGTAATGCTCTGCTAGATTGCCTAGCCAGCTTAGCATTCCAGCATAGCATTTTTACACTATATTTCTTGATGCACTGCTAGATTGCCTAGCCAGCTTAGCATTTCAGCAGAGCATTTTAACACTATATGTAGGAATGCCCTGCTACATTGCCTAGCCAGCTTAGAGCATTTTTATCCTATATTTAGGAATGCCCTGCTAGATTGCCTAGCCAGCTTAGCATTCCTGCAGAGCATTGTAACACTATATTTAGTAATGCCCTGCTTGATTGCCAAGACAGCTGAGTATTGCAGTAGAGCAATTTTACACTTTATTTAGGAATGCCCTGCTAGATTGCTTAGCCAGCTTAGCATTCCAGCAGAGCATTTTTACACTATATTTAGTAATGCCCTGCTAGATTGCCTAGCCAGCTTAGCATTTCACCAGAGCATTGTTTTTTTCACTATATTTAGGAATGCCCTGCTAGATTGCTTAGCCAGCTTAGCATTCCACCAGAGCATTTTTACATTATATTTAGTAAAGCCCTGCTAGATTGCCTAGTCAGCTTAGCTAGCCAGCTGAGCATTTCAGCAGAGCATTTTAACACTATATTTAGAAATGCACTGCTAGATTGCCTAGCCAGCTTAGCATTCCAGCAGAGCATATATACCCTATATTTAGTAACACCCTGCTAGATTGCCTAGCCAGCTTAGTATTCCAGCAGAGCATTTTTTCACTATAACTAGGAATGCCCTGCTAGATTGCCTAGCCAGCTTAGCATTCCAGAATAGCATTTGTACACTTTATTTAGTAATGTCCTGCTAGATTGCCTAGCCAGCTTAGCATTCCAGCAGAGCATTTTTACATTATATTTAGTAATGCCCTGTTATATTGCCTAGCCAGCTTAGCATTCCAGCAGAGCATTTTTTCACTATATTTAGTAATGTCCTGCTAGATTGCCTAGCCAGCTTAGCATTCCAGCAGAGCATTTTAACACTATATTTAGGAATGCCCTGCTAGATTGCCTAGCCAGCTGAGCATTCCAGAAGAGCATTTTAACATTATATTTAGTAATGCACTGCTAGATTGCCTAGCCAGCAGAGCATTTTTTCACTAAAGCTAGGAATGCTCTGCTAGATTGCCAAGACAGCTGAGTATTGCAGCAGAGCATTTTTACACTATATTTAGGAATGCCCTGCTAGATGCCCAAACAGCTGAGCATTACAGCAGATCATTGACTTCCCTATATAAATTGAAATGCCTTTTTGCTTAGCTCACTGTTCACTGCTAACTTCTCACATACAAAAAATTATCAATAGTTTTTGTTTATAAATGACGGGAACGTGAGCAAAGCGCTGTAAACAATGTTTATCTATACAAATATGTGACTGAAATAAACTGAAAAATGTCGTTCAATATAGATAACACGCAGGTTTAACATTATATATAATGGTATATTGTATTTATATATACAATGCTTATATAAGGCTTTAGTTACTCAGTTATGGAAGAGTTATTTATACAAAATATAATAATATCGTAAGGCGTGATACCTTCATTCTATGTATGTACACACACGTATGATTCGTTGTTTGTTTGTTATTCCTCATTCTTTTTGCATAAGATTGTTTTATATTGCAAACTACTTCAGTAGCTTAACC